TGAGCGCTCCTGACTCTGAGGGCTGTGGCTGCCGTGGCTGTGGAGTGGGAGCTGTCTCAAGCAGGGCTGGGCAGGGGCAGGAGCTGGAGAGATGGGGCTGAGAACCACTGCCACTTGTGGGAGAGGCAGGTGCCAGGGACCAGGGAGAAGACAGCTCCTCCTTTATCAACCCACACCCAGAAGCCTCTGTGTCACTGGTCCACAAAGGAACCCCTGGGTGGCAGCATGTTTGATGCAGGGTGTTTGAAGCTGCTTTTCATAGCAGAGAGGCAGGAATGGGAGACCTGGGGCCTCACTGACACTTCAGCAACATGTGTGGGCGCCCTTAGGCTCTATGACGTCTCCTCGGCCTCTTTTCCCCTACATAGGTGGGGTATTTTTAAGCTATGTTTGTTATTTCTAGTGTCCTTCGGTGCTTTCGAGCTGTGGATCTCTTTCCTTCTTTCTGAGGACTGTATTCATTGTGAGTACTCTTTTTCCTAAGACACTGTATTTATAATGAACTGGGGTAAACAGGGTGACATACAGCAACACTGACAACTCACGCCATAACACCTGCTGGTCACTTCCCCAAGCTCTGCATCCTCAGTTCTCTGAATTCTTAGGAGGCTCCTGCACAGCACAAGCACCACCCCTCATGTGCAGATGAGAACAGTGGGAATCAGGGCTCTGGGGCAAGCTCACAGTCAGGCAGGCTAAACTGGGGAGGCCAGGGATTCAAATCCAAAGTGACTGAGTTTAGCTTCTTAAATTGAATGATTTCACTGAGTTATATGGAATATGTAAACTCATCCACCCCTTGTGACAGAGAACCATTACTTGAACAGATTCATAGGGAGTGTATGTTTAAATTTTTACATGCCAAAGGCAAAGAGCTTATGAAATGTCATTAAAATACACACATAATGGCCTCTTTCCAACAACCTCCTGGGTAGCTATCAGTGTGTAGCTTCCCTAGCAAAGGTGTGACATCCTCAGGAAAGCAAAGCAATTTTTCCTGTTCCATGATCCTGCACTGTTATCTGAGAAAAAAGAAAGCAGTAGTAGCAAAATAATGCAATAATAAGCAAATCAATAAGTAACATGCAAGTGAAAACCAACCACAGTTTCTAAGTATATGAAAGCATAGTGTGTGCCATTCGCAGTAGCAGGAGAAGTGTGGAAAAAAAACCCAGGCCAGTCTGCAGTAATACCCATAAGGAGTACGAATGACCTCCCCAGTATCTCACACTGCCTTCTCAGCTCTCCTCTGTGACCATTCTGCAGCTTTACAGCCCAAAGCCACATTTAACCATTTACTCTCAAACTGTCATTCAGCATTTGATAGCAGGTCTGTGTTGCGTGACTTGGACACCAGTCAGAGAGACGCCATTTGGCAGGTATTCTCACTGTGTATAGAGGAAGACACAGAATTCAGACAGCAGCCTGGTACTTTCAGGGAAAACAAGGGAGAGAAAACCCTTGGGATTTGTGAGTGAAGAGCACGGTTAACTACACAGGGTAGTGGTGAGAGAAAGCTCACCTGGGACACTTTGTTGCAAAGTGCCACTACTATACTATATGGAGGACTTGACTAATTCAGAGGTAAGTTCGACAGGGAGAGGATGCACAATGGGAAATGACAAGTAGAACTAAGGTTGAAATATTAACTACATATTATTTTAAAGAAGGAATAAATTTCTTTTCTATCTAGAAGCTCATTCTGCATGAAATATAGAAGGAGATAACAGAAAAAAGAGACGACGTTCATAAATGGATTGTAGGGTCGCAACATGAGACTTTGGTGTGTCTTGACCTGTGGGGTGGTTGTTGGGGTTGAGAAACTCACTGGATTTCACCAAGTCCAGAAGACACAATGAGGACAATGTTTCTGGCATCCATAGAACCAGAACCAGAGGTGAGAGCTGTTCCTCTGCTTTAGGGTGGAAGTGAGGTTGGCAGAAATAGAGGTGAAGAGCTGTGTGATCCCAATCTGACCCCATCCATGTGGGAGATCGGAAACAAATTTCCCCCAGACTTCATCCTACTTTTAGGCAGAAGTGGACTTTTCTTCTCCTTGAGCTGTCTGTCCTCCCTGTCACATGTGGCCCTGGTCCCCACTCAGGGCAGGGAAGAGGGGTCAGCCCGTGCCCTCCCCTTGGCCAAACGCAGTTCTTTGAAGGAGCTGGGCTTCATTTTGAGCTCTTTCCCCTTGTGAGGGATGGGTGCGCTGGAGAGACGAAGGGCATCTGGGAGCAGCGCAGAGAAACCCACTTCCAGGAGGTGGTGCTCTGGATGTGGAGCGGGAACCAGAGGGAGGCCTGTGAGCAAGGTAATTTCAAGGGTGCTTTGCACTGCCGCTCCCAGGCTGTGGCTTCCCCGGCTGTGGCTGGCAGGCATCTCTGTTTGAGACCCTGAGAGCCCTGCACGCTCTGTGTGACTGGGGAGTGGTATCAGCGGGTGGGTCTGCTGTAGAGAGTAGAGTCTGATCTGGACCTGTGGTTCCTCCTCCAGACTGATCCATGCTGAGGGACCCGGAAGGCTGTGGAAGGTGCTCATCACCACCTGCTCATCACTGAAAGCCGATGGTGGGAAACAGCAAAGAATGCCATCAGGCAACTGCTGGACACTCATGTGCCTCACATGCCTCAGAAACAGTTCTTTTCTTTAATATCTCCAAAGCACAGCCCAGACCCAAGATATGTTATCTTTGCTTCTTTGTGTTCTTCCAAAGGTTTTTCTAATCTGATCTATGAAGTCAGAGGATGACTAACAGCAGTGAGAGAATAATCTTCCCTTCTCTCCCTGGACTTGGTATTGTAGGTCATATTTGAGAGACATGTATCTAAAACTTGTCATGGGCCCTGAGGAAAAACCTAGAAATGTGATCTCATGCGCTTGGATTTTCCAGGAAAGCACTATTTCTAGCACAGGGCTCTGAGATACAGTCAGTCTTTTTTTTTTTTTTTTTTTTTTGGTTTTTCTCTGGTACCGGGAACCGAACTCACGACCTTGCGCTTGCCAGGCAGGCGCTTTGCCGCTGAGCTAAATCCCCAGCCCCCAGTCAGTCTTCTCTTTACAAACTCCTATGTGGGATTGGAATGCGTGTGGGTATTGCTATAAGCCACAGTCAAAGGAGCTATTCTAAGTCCTTTTAAGCTGGTGGCCTGCTGGCTTTCCCTTATTTCACTTTCTTTTTTTTTTTTTTGCAGTACCGGGGATCGAACTCATGACCTTGTGCTTGCCAGGCAGGCGCTTATGCCACTGAGCTGTATCCCCAGCCCCCTTATTTCACTTTCTTCTTCCACATAGTCTCTGTCTTTACCACTAATTCCACAATGTGAAGGATGAAAATGCTTTTTGCCCTGGCCAATCATGTGTCAGGCAATTCCTGCTGACCAGCCGACCTGTCCACCTGGTACCTTGTTGGTGAACTTGCTGTGAAGTTGGGAAAACTGCCTCCTAGATTAACTCCTCCATAACTAGGGACTTATGATTTAGTCATCATTTTACCCTACTAAAATTTTATCCACTGCAGATCAGCGGTGTCGCCTAGGCGTGTGATTCAGGTAAGAGTCCTTGAGAAGCAAAACCCAGACCCCATGGGGTGATATTAGTGCAAGCGCCTGGGAGAGCAAAGGAGCCTGGGAGAGCATCGCAACCCATGCAATGACCCTGAGTGAGAGTCAGGGAAGGCAGCATGCATGTGCAAACCACAGTGCAGTGTGGGCCAAGTTATACATGGGGTCTGGGAGTTAACATGGGGTCAGTGTAGCCGGGAGAGGAGGCCTGGGTTTCCCGGGAGCTTCCTGATCTTCACATCTCCAGTGCTCTTATTAATGGGCTGGAGGCCATTTGCTGGTAGCTTAGCCTTAGACTGGACACAGAACAGGATTGCAGATACAGCTAGACAGACCTGGCCAAGTGCTACAGAGGGATTTATCGTGTATAACGCATATCTCAAATACCACATCAGTGGGGGTTCTTTTAAGATATTCATTTTTATTATAATAGCCCCTAAGTAGACAATCACCGTCTGCTTCCTGAATTTCAAGAAAGCTGGAATTCTATTCCAGTTTCTTTTCTGTTCCTCTATGTGGGATTTGTCCTCATGCTTGTACCATTATTGTTCCATGTCCCTTCTTAATAGGAAAATAAAGGAGAGTGCAACGTGAAGGAAGAGAAATCCACTTGCAAGAAAAGCAAAATTGCTTTAGAAATTTCCACAAACATTAGTCATGCTTTTATTGATCAAGAGATGTGAATTTTTCTAGTGATAACTGGTACATGGCACCACTGAGAAATATGTTTCCTGTCTCAACATAATCTGAGATCTCTCAGTAAAAAGCATAACAAATGGACAGTGAGAAGAGAGACTAATAGATGGAATTACAGTGCATCAGACAGGAGAATGCCACGCAGGTTTAAGAAGATGTAAAAATTTTAATTGACCAATATATAATGATTTTCTCAAGATGTCACACAACTTAAAGAGCAATGATTGTCCCAATTTGCACACCAAGTACTGCTTATAAAAAGAAGGAAGAATATGGATGTTATTTTTTCTTGAAGAGAAATTGTGTGTGGTAGTGCATGAGATAAATTGAGACCTGACAAATAGCAGAGCTTGGTGGGAAGTTTTGGCTTTGGGGAACATTTGAGTTAATTAACTATTGGAAAAGAAAATGTAAATTATAAAATCATGCGATAAATCATGAATTTTTTCAGACATTCACACTACTGACAGAGAATAATGTGTATATATTACAAATATAAAATATGAATTACAGGATTCATTACTTTAAAAACAATTTGGATAAACAGACAAAAGAGGAATTATAAAATCCAAATCCTGTATTTATAGAACAAATTAAATATAAAGATGATGGTGAGTAACCCGTTTTCTGGGCCCCTTTACCTCTTCTCAGATAGAAGCTTCCTTTCTCTCAATAAATTTTTCCTACTCTTAAAATGCATATATATATATATATAAAGAATAGCAATTTTGCACAATATGAAAAATGGGTTTTAACTTTGTTAAAGGAGTAATTTTCTTCTTTCTAACTGGACTTGGCATGACGGGAAACATCTTTGTTTTTATGAATTGTACATGCTTTATTGGAGGCACTAAGATGAAAAGTACGCCCTTGATTCTCACCCATTTGGTTTTTACAAATATTATCCTGCTTCTTTCCAAGGGAATTCCAAGAACAATAGCAGCTTTTGGTTTCAGAAACTTCCTCAGTGACATTGGCTGTAAGGTTGTTGTTTATATGGAGAGAGTGGCCCGGGGCCTCTCCATCTGCACCAGCAGTCTCCTCACTGTGGTCCAGGCCATCACCATGAGTCCCAGACACTCAGCATGGCGGAGGGCCCAGCCCAGGTCTGCATGGCACGTCCTCCCCTTGCTCCTCTCCTTGTGGGGCCTCAATGCTATGGTAAGCATGAACTTACTCTATATCGTCTCGAGTACTAATATGAACTCATCACAAATTAGTAAAAGTGACGTCTATTGTGGTTTTCTACCAAAAAGTCAGAAAGTGAACTGGATTTTCCTCACTCTGCTGGCCCTGAGAGACACTGTGTTCCAAGGTCTAATGGGTGGGGCCAGTGTCTACCTGGTGACTCTTCTCCACAAGCACCACCAGCGGGTTCTCCACCTGCAGAAGTCCAAAGTGGTCTGCAAAACTCCCCGTGAGATCAAAGCTGCCCAAAATGTGCTCCTTCTGATGCTTTGTTTTCTTTTCTTTTATTGGACAGATTGTTTCACATCTTTATATTTAGCTTTCTCCTTCAAGAGTGACTCCATAACAATAAATCTTCAAGAATTTCTGACTTTCGGTTATGCAATCCTCAGTCCTTTTGTGCTGATTCACAGGGATGGATTCCAGGCTAAGTGCTGGCATGCTCTGCAGGGTGGGAAGATATTGAGAAATTGTCTATTGCATTCTCCTTTCTATAGGTGGAAATGAACCTACTGTTCATCCTGCTATGCTGCTTGTGAAACAGCATCCCCAAAGTGGTGAACTGTGTAAGTCTCTAGTATCAAACAATGGTCCTGGTGACCTGAATCCATGGCTGATACAGAGATCATAAAATACTACATGCTGTGTGATGTGGTGTGTGACTGTAATCCCAGACCTCTGGGAAGCTGAGACACAAGAAAGACCTCAGATCAGAGCCCAGGCTGTACAAGCAAGACCTTTAGCAAGACCCTGGCTAGAAAAAAATTAAAAGGGCTACAGTATGAACACTTTGTGTTCACTCTGCAGTAACTAACACAGACACATACCCTCCCCAATCCAACAGAAATCTCATTCTCCACTTTGGAATGCACAAGAAATGATTTTATGCTAATATTTTTAAGACTGGTCTTTCATTAGCACAGTTTCAGTAGTAGGCAGCAAGAACAAAACTTAATGAATGATTTCTAAATAGCTAGTCACCCTCCCTTTTCCCCCTTGAATTACATTTATTTGATTTGATATGACCAGTGTACTTGTTCTTTGAGATTTGTTATAGGAAACAAATAAATTAATAAGCCTCATTCTTTTACAAAACACAGTCTAAGTACCAGTGAAAGAGCCTGTTTTTATTTTAGCTTTTATTAGTTTGTTAACTACTTGACATGACAATGTACATAATTATTAATTTGTAGATTCAAATTTTATAGAATTGAAAGAATGGTTAAGTCGCAATGTATTCACGTGGAATGACACACGTGTAATATCAATCAGTGAAGAGCAATGCATGAGAAATGGAATTCAAAGCACTGTGAAATGTATTTCCTTTGATGCTATGTTCATGAAGACTGTGGAGAAATCAAAGAGATCAAACTTGTGGAGAAAGTGGATAAATGCACAGTGCATAAAATGCAATTTAATGACATTCTGAATTTTCTGAGTTCTTAAAAATATGTGTTAATGTCTACTAAAATGAATAAATTCTGTCTGGATTGATTCCACGCATCATTTGTTAGTGACCTGGCTCTCTCCATAGTGCTATGAGTCTCTTTGTCATTGAAGACCTACAAAATAATCTGATTCTACCTTTAATTCAAGTGAAAAAATATTTGTTAATTTTTTGAAATTTAAATCATGAAGAATAGATTATTGACATTAAGAGTGGATAGGAAAGTAGACGTGGTGCACACTTTTGATTCCAGTACTTGGGAGCCTGTGGTAGGAGGACTGCCATGAGTTTAAGACCAGCCTGGTTCACATAGTGATTCCAAGGCCAGCCTGAACTATCTAGTGTGACCCTGTCTCCAAAAAAGAAACAGAGACAGGCAGAATGCACAGGAGATGAATAATTGCTGGCAAAACTTGACGAAGGATATTGTGCAACTGGATTTTTCAAACAGTGCTATTTTTCCTTTTTTCTGTCTCATAGTTAAAATGAAAAATGCCCTCCAGATTTCTGAGTTTTGGATCCTGACATAAGGATAAAACCAGCCACAGTTGGAGCAACATAACTTGACACTGCATGTTGTATTTCTGCTGTCCTGTCCTGTACAATCATTCTTCATGATTTAAATTTCAAAAATTAACAAATATTTCTTCACTTTAATTAAAGATACAGTCAGATTATTTTGTAGGTCTTCGATGACAAAGAGACTCATAGCACTATGGAGAAAGCCAGGTCACTAACAAATGATGCCTGGAATCAAGCTTGAGGCATGAGGAATGGGCCCCTCTCCCTTCTGTAGGGACTGTACTGAGTATATTCTGTTCCTACCTCAGCACTGCTTTTTATTGTGTAGTCAGCTGGGATTTCACCTAGTTGTCCCAAATTGGCTCATCTTGTCTAAGATTTGTGACATTATTTGAAAAAAATATCTAGACTGAACACATCTCAAGAACCCAAAATTTAGGAGGTGAGTATTGGTGGGAATAAATGAAGTTTAATGAAGTCCAAGGCTAGTGAAGTTGGAGAAATTCCTCAAAGATCCATCATTGGGAGCTCAGTGGCTCAGTGGTTTAGGGCATTTATGTGGAGGGAAAGGAGGCCTGCCCAATCAACACTGGGCAGCTGCAATGAATAAATTCTTCTCACTGTTCTTACCAGGAATGATTTTTCTTACTGTTTAATTAAAGTGATGTTTTTCTTGTGTCAGAGTATGAAAAAGATAATTAAATACAAACTTGTATATATACAATAAGTAATAAAATTCTGATTTAAATGACCATTAGTTGTCTGCATTGAAAATAAACATCAAAAAGAAAATAAACATAGATAATATGTTTGTATAAAGCAACACGATATGTTAAGTTATCTGAAAAGGATTGCTTGATATTGAAAGATTTAACTTTAAAAACATTTATCAGTCTGAGAGTAAGCTTCTAATATTGCATCTATTCATGTTAAAAGAGATAAATTATTCTCTCCTCAAGCCCCATTTTTTTATTTTAAAGATAAAAGAATGAAAACATCTTAATGAATACACATACATTTAGAAAATAACACAACAACAACACAAGCAATACAGAATCTCAGACAAGGTGATAGCAGCCCCAAGCCCCAAAGTTTTTGATATCTCTAAAGAATCTCTTTAACTGTGTTAATGTTCTCTCAACTCATTCTTATAAAAAATCTTCCAATTAAAGCAATAATAAAGACTATAATGTTTATTGTTTTCATTACTACTTTTTAAACTATTTATGTCAATGTTTTGTGTGTAGATAACTAAGCTTTATGCATAGATGTTGTTCTTGTGCCAGCATTTTGAGATTTTTGCCTGCCCGAATTGAAAGTAAAATAAGACTCAGCTTTTGCAAGCAAACTCACTTTGAAGTTTAGGAACCTTGCCAGTTAATACAAAAGTTTACCTTTTTATAATTAAACCAGGGTCACTACAGCAGGACATTATGTATGCTTGCCATTCATCACATTCTTTGATTACATCACACTATTCATGAGCGGTCCTTTCTGTTTCCACTTATCAGGGAGGGGAAAAGCAAGCCTTCTGAAGCTGATTAAACACATAGAACATAATAGTGTGAGTCAATTGTTAAGTACTCTCAGGTTGAGACAAAACAATAATTTACATATCAAACCAACATCATAATTATGTCAATATATATAATCTATTACATATATATGTCTATAATTTTCTTTCAAGTTTTATCTTTCTGAATTGTTAACATTCACAAGTGGTTTATGAGATAAACTAACCACGTGTAGAAGTGCTCACACTTTCACATTCCATGTACTCCTGAATTGAGCATGACCTACACTTCAGAAAATGATTCCACTCTCTCCCAACTATCAGTTGAATGCATATAAACTGGAAAATCTCAAACAACACCAATAAAATATAGGTGTCTTTGGGTTGTCATATAAGTATAAAAATACAGATTAAAATACACCAGAACATACAATAAATACATGACTCAATAAATATCTGAATGCACAAGAAGGCACAATTTTCTTTAAAGAAAAATTGTAAATAATTTCCATTAACCTAAGGAGTGAGTTACGATTGGCCTTCTGGAACTCTGCTGATGGCAAGATTTGGAGGACTTATTTCCAAGGAATGAGTGTACAAAGATGAGCAGAGTGACCAGTGCAGGAGCAGTGCTGAGGCCTGGACAACTTCAGGAATCTCTGTGAATCAAGTTCAGCACCCGCACTGGCACAGGAGTAGAACTGAGCCCCAGAAAATTTTGGGTGCATAGTGAGCCCCACGCCAGCCTTCCTACCTTTGTGGGAGCAACACTGAGCCCTGGAGAGCTTTAGGGTCCTTACTGAGCCTTGCTGAACCCTCCTCACCATTTTGGGAGCAATGCTGAGCCCCAGTGAACTCCAGGAGGTGGGTGAGTCACCCCTGCCCTCCCACCATTGTGGAAATAACACTGAACCCCTGGAAACTAGAGGGCCTCAGGGAGCTGCAACCCCCCCCATACACAATTGTCACAGTGACGCTGAACCTTGGTGAACTTTGGGAGCTTTGAAAATGCCAAAACAAAGGGGAAATATGCAATCTCAGAACTCTAGCCCACACAGATCAGTCCTCCAAGGATGGGAGAAGAATATGACATACAATAAGTAAGGCATATAGAATTCCAATTAGCCATAGTGAAAATATATCTACACCTAGACACATAATAATTAAGATCCAAGAAATTCAACAAAAGAACAGAATATTAAAAGCTGTTAGAGAAAAGAAACAGATCACCTATAAAGGAAAACACATAAGAATCACAGCAGATTTTTCAACACAAACCACCAAGTCAAGAAGAGCTTGGAGAGAAGTATTTCAGGTCCTGAAAGAAAAAACTTCCAACCCAGATTGATGTACCCTGCAAAGCTATCTTTCAAAATTAATGGAAAAATAAGATACTTTCATGACAAAGAACAGCTGAAGAAATTCATGATGACCAAACCAACCTTACAAAGATTACTGAAAAATATTTTAGAAAGAGATAAAAATAATCACAACTTCAAGAAAAACAATAGGAAGGAATCACCAAGCAGAGGAAGCAATCAAACAGAGGGCAAAAATAGGGACCAACAGTAGAACAATAGCATGATAAAGTGAAGCCAATACATACCAGTGATGTATGTAACTGATCAATGTAAATGGCCTCAATTCACCAATCAAAAGAAGCAGACTGGCAGAGTGGATTAAGAAACAAAATCCAGTAATATACCATATACAAGAAACATGTTTAACTCAAAAGGAAATTCATAGACTAAAAATCAAAGGATGGAAAACAAAACTCTATGGGACAGAAACCCAGAAAAAAGGAGAGGTACCTATTTGGTTTACAGACAGTGTGAACTTCAAGCCAAGAATGATCATAAGAGATAAAGAAGGTCACTACATACTGGTTAGGGGAAAACTTCAAGAGGAAGAGATAACAATCATAAATATCTATGCACCAAATATGAGAATACCCAGTAGGTAAGACAAATATGAACAGACATAAAAAAATCAAATAAGCAACAACACAATTGTAGTGGGAGATTT